AAGCTGTGGCTGCCCCATCCCTGGCAGTGTTCAAGGCCAGGTTGGATGTGGCTCAGAGCAAGGGATGGGATGCAGAAGACCTCTGCAGCACTGTACAGGACAGCTTCGTGCAGCCTGCTCACTCTGTCTCGGAAAAACAGAAAAACTAAAGGCACAGCAACAGGTGGTAAGAATTGCCAAGGACTAGGACAGGCTTTATAGAAGCAGAGGGTCCTCAGTTTGGGAGAGATGCCTGAAGAAAAGAAGATAATAAATTCATGTGTCCTGGAAGAAGTGAGGGGCGGTCACTGGCTAGTTCTATAAGAGCTTGATTGGTATGGCAGTAAGTTCAAAGCACTCAGAAAGTAGTTATTTTCAAAGCTTAATAGTGAAGCTCTTTTCTTTAGGGTGTATTAGATTTAAAAAATACATATATAAGGTATACAAAGCATCATAGTTCTATACTTGCACCTTTTGCTAAGCCTTAGTCAAAACCAGGTTACAGATGTAGAGGAACTAATGTTTTCACAAAGGATGAGGGTTCATATGAATTGATGTATCAGTGTGTGTCTCTATACATGCACATATAGTGCCATATGTATTCTCTGTATGATACATTGTGTGCATGGTCCTACTGCAGTGATTTCTTTTCTGCAGACCTTATGGGAGATGGTGCAGCCTTTTGGGGTATGTGAGCTGCTTGTTTAAAAATAAAACCCTTTTGTTAGGGTAGGGGAAATGATGCTTGCTCAGTGGTGTGGAACAAAGGAGCTTGAAGATAGCTTAAAGAAACTTAATGATGTATTAATGAACTTCTCAGCAAAAGTACTAATGGGGGGAGATAATGGGAATAGGAGCATGTTTTGTTTTCTTCAGCTGGACTAGTAATTTCTTTTAACTAGCAACATAAAGGGTAAATGTGTAGTGGCAATCAATGAAATCTCTTTGTTGGCTGGGTTTAGTGCTAAATTGGAGTTTCACATTGGCTGAGACTCTGCAGTGCTGTACTGGCTTTTCCTGATGGACCTCCTGCAGCGCCATGAGAAACAAAGGGCTTTACAGATGCCCTGGCCTCTTTCTTTCAAGCTTTGTCTCCAAGAGGTTCTCATTGGGAAACCCACAGGTATGAGCCCTGATGCAAGCAAGCAGCTGGTCTTGGTTGCAGCTTACATGGAATTACTAGTTGGGGTGAGAACCCACAGCAAAGGTTGATGATAGTTTTGACTAGGAGCTCAAGTATGTCTCTTGAAAAGTATCTGCTTGATGATTCAAAGCTCTGCCTTGCAAACACATACCCAAGGGAGTACATAGGGCTAGTAAGCATGTAAAGTAGTGTATGAGTTCATGAGAATGAGAAAAAACTTATTGTCACACAGTTCAAGAAGGGCAAGTAGGGAAGGACATATGTGTGGCAGTAACTGACAGTGGAAGTGGGGGACAAGGGATAATTCTCCCTGAGAATGTAACTAAGGACAAACCCCATTGGGAGAAGGTTGAGGTGGAGCTGGGAGGGAGGGGACACAAGTCATACCTGGGACCTCTGAAGGACCTGGTTTCCACAACCACTTCCTGGGTTTGCTGAATGCCTTGTTAAATTCTTCAGTGCTCTCCTTCATCACAGATAAATCCCCAATGTAGAACCTGCTGAGGCTGTTCTTGCTGGATACTCTCTTTTGCTGCTTGCCTAATCCCAGTTGTGTTACTTTACCCTCAACTTTAAAGGGGGAAAAAAGTAACTTTTGCTGTGGTGGAATATGCCCTTCTTAATCTCATTCTGCATCTTTTCTGCTGCTCTGTTGTTCTGAGTTCTCTACCGAGGCATCTGTCTGGCTTCTAGGAGTCTCCAGTTTTCTCCAGTCATCACATTAATAGGCAGAAACTAAGTTACTAGCCCCCATTACAAACCTACCTCCTTTTCAAAACCTGGTCTGACATTTCTAAGCAGAGCTGCTGAACACTCAAAGGGCACTGGTATTTTTTTCTTGTTTCAAGGGTATTTCTGTCCCCTGTTTGCTCAAGCCATATTCAGACTTGGGTTTTTAAATGAGTCTGTTCAGTTTCTCAGGCTCTTCTCCAGAGCTATTGATGCAGTTTTCTTCATTCATCCCCAGGGCTGTTGCTTTTAGCCAGGCTCTTGCCTTATCACACTTGCTCAGTGGTTTCCAAGCTTTACCAGGTACAGCCTTGTACAACTGGTACCACCTCAGACCTTTCTGCAGAGATGCTTTTCTACCATGTAGTTCCACTGACAGTTGTACCAGCTCTCCAAAGGGCTTTTGGTGTGGTCCCACATTGGGTTCTTGTACAGAAACCAGGCAGTCAGAGCACACTGAGTAGGCACCATGCCTGGGTACTGAAGGGAGCAGGGGAAGGAGTGAATGTCCAGCCCTGATGGTGGAAGATGCCCCTGCAGGTCCCAACAGATATCCCACTGGCAAGGGAGCAATGTGATGGCTGAGTTTAAGTTATCCACTGCCTGAATTTAGCTCACAGCCAGCTGAAGAATTGCAACATCTTTTAAGCCTTGCTACGGCACTAAAATGGCAAATGTAGATAAATGAATTGATGCATATGATATACACACTTGCTCTGGCCTTGTTCTTCCCTGGGAACTTGCTTTTGGCTGCTATTTTGGGATGATTTTTTAGGTTAGATGAACATTAGTGACCTATTATGTCCCAAATAGTTTGTTGCATTAAAGTGAGTTGTAGGGCTTGCTGCCTGTCTTTCATGGGCTCTCTGAAGGGAGGATTTCCTTGCTGCAGACTTGGTAGAGGCACTGCAGTGCAGTGCTTAAAGAGCCTCAAGTTAAATGTATGTTGTGCTTGTCCATTTGAAGATGAGCAGTCCTGTCTGGCCGGGCAATAGAAACAATAACTAAATAAAATTCCTCTACTCCCTGGCATTGGCTGAACATTTAAAACTCTTGTCAAAAACATTAAGAAATCTCATTTGAAATGTAACAGCACTGCCTAAGCAGTTAACTGGGAGTGTGCAACAGCCAGCACCCTGTTGGCGACATTCAGGCAGGAGTAATGTGTAACTAAGCAGAGAGTCTGAGGATCTTTGCTTGGGGCAGGACGGTCTCTGCAGTGATGAAATAGCAAGCTGTAAACAAGCAAAGCTCACTGCAACCCTGTCAGGGACTGCAGCAGCTAAACATAGCCCCAGAGGCTTGACTCACTTGGCTTCTGCCTGGCACATGATTGCTCTGGGCTCACTGTGGGGTTACAGAGGTGAAATTCTGTAATCTGTGTCATGCCAGAGCTCAGTCGAGATGTGTAATGGTCTCATCTGGACTCAAAATCTGCACATCACCAAGAGTGGGTAGAGAGTATGGAGCACCCAGGTCAGCCTAGCCCAGCTGCCTGCCCTTTCCAGCACTATCCAAAAAGGATCCTGCTTGCTACCTCCCCTGCTCTATGCTGATCCGCCTGGAGAAGAGAAGCTGTGTGGAGACCTCAGAGCAGCCTCCAGTATCTGAAGGGGGCCTACAAGGATGCTGGAGAGGGACTCTTCATCAGGGACTGTAGTAATAGGACGGGGGGAAGCAGGTTCAGGCTGAAATGGAGGAAGTTTAGATTAGATATAAGGAGGAAATTCTTCCCTGTGAGGGTGATGAGGCGCTGGCACAGGGTGCCCAGAGAAGCTGTGGCTGCCCCATCCCTGGCAGTGTTCAAGGCCAGGTTGGACACAGGGGCTTGGAGCAAGCTGCTCTAGTGGAAGGTGTCCCTGCCCGTGGCAGCGGTTGGGACTGGATGAGCTTTAAGGTCCCTTCCAGCCCAAACCAGTCTGGGATTCTGTGCTGGCAGTAGCAAATTTCAACAGGGCAAATTATATTCCTGGTATTTCTCCTAAAGCCTGTGGGATGTGGGAGGAAATGGTGACCTTCTGCACCCTGTAATGTCAAAAGGAAATAGCAGAGTACTGTTGCTGCAATCAGGATGGTTCCTGAACACATGGTATTAAGGACACTTCTGTTTCTCAAACAGGAAGAAGTTTCAGAAACTTAATGTAAGAAATGGTTTGCTTAGTCATAGTGCTCAGAGATTAATTTAAGTTGCATTACTGTGACAGTCTTGTCTTTTGATGGCTGTGCCATGACTAATAACATTGGATAGGTTTTATGAACATCAATTCTCTGAGCTGTCTTTAATGTTGCTTTTTGAATGAGACTGCGTCCAAGGTCCTGATTGCTCGTGGCTTAATGATTCTGTTGCATATTACTGGAAAAATACGAGATGTTCTGGGTTAGAGTGTCATCAGGAAATTGTTCACGTACAGCCTTGCTCCAGAGTGCTGGTCTAGAAACTTGTAACAATTAGCAGGAGTGTAATGGACATTTATGTTCACTCTTTCTTCTGTTAAGGCTATCGAACGTGTCTGGGACATTTCTGCATGGCTTTCTTTTTAATATAGAGAGAAACATGAAGTACTCACTTCTAAATCTCTCTTGAAAGCAATTTAATCCTGAGTGGAAGCAGAGGATTTTGCTTTGCAGTCACAAGACTGTTAAATGTCTTAGGGTGAAACAGCTGATACGTGATTGGAGAGCAGCAAGTCACTCTGCTGTGTCACTTGAAAGAAATCACTTCAACTCAGTCTATGCCCCTGTGATAGGGTTAAAAGATAAACTCGCTTTTTTACTCAGGTATTTTGAGGTCTGTTTCTCACACTTGAGAGCAATCTGAAATGGGGATTGCATGGTCACGGATGAAGCAGACAAAAGCCAAACCAATTCTTGTGTTTGTCTTCCTTCTTCTGCAGGACAGATTCTGCATCGCATATGAACTACGACAACCCTCCACCCTACACCGGCCCGGGCCCCACCGCCCCATACCCACCCTATGCACAGCAGCCAGGCGGTCCTCCTGGCCCCTACCCGGGCTATCCTCCTGGACCCACCGGGCCCTACCAGCCAGGCCAGCCGGGTTACCAAGGCTATCCCCAGTATGGATGGCAGAATGCTCCTCCACCTCCAGGACCAGTCTATGCAGATGGGCCTAAAAACACAGGTAAGCCTGGCAGCTGTGGTGCCATGTCATCGTGACCCTTTCTGGCTTGTGAAAGTGTGAGTGCATGCTGACCTTGACACAATGTGGTTACCAGTGTCTGACCCTTGCAGGGATAGGGGAGGTGGACGCTTGCTTGAAGGAGCGATTGTTGATAGCCTGTTTTCCTGCTTGCTTTTGTTGTTGCGTCTCTAGCAGTTCTCTGGCTGTTGGAAGATACTGCTGAACATCCTTAGTGCTGGTAGCTCAAGAGAATCCTTATGCTGAGCTTGTTATATATGCTTTGCTGGCTTTATCGAAGAATCATAGAGTCGTAGAATGGTTTGGGTTGGAAGGGATCTTAAAGCTCATCGAGTTCTAACCCCCTACAAATGTACAGTTCCTACTAAATTAATGGTCATCAGTTTTCGTGAGCCCATCAATATCTGTCCAAGTGATATATTGGAATCATTCCTGGTCTTCTGCTTTTTTTCTGAAGCTATTACTGTTCCGTGGAAAACCCCAGATTTCTGAGGAGGGGAAAGGGGACAATGTAACATCCTGGCAGCTAGCTGCTCCAGCTGTGTACGTACTCAGTACGGTATGCTGGTTTACTCTGGTATCCATGGCTCTTGTGGGGCTTGCTGCAGCCCTTGGTGCAGGTTTGAGTTGTCAGAGGACAGACAAGGAGATTACTAAGGGACCAGAGCATCTTTATATGAGAAGCTGAGAGAGGAGGGACTGTTCAGCCTGGAGAAGAGAAGGCTCAAAGGGGCCTATCCAGGTGTATAAATACCTGATGGGGAGGAATGAAGAGGGAACTGACCCTGCTTAAGCAGGGTAGTGGACTCTCTGATCTTCAGAGATCCTTTCCAACCTCCACAACTCTGGGATTCCGGCAAGGTTGGTTTGGGTCTCTGCCTTTTCCCCATGGAAAGTGTTGCATTTACCTTGGGGTGTTTTTTAGCTTGCTGGCAAGGGCGCTTGCCTAGAGACCAAGTTTATTCATGTCACTGTTTCACAGGCTTCGCAGGTTGTAAAATCTCTGCTCATACATCATGGGGATGTAACTCACCCCCTCAGCTCTTCAGTGATAAAAATACTCATCCAGGCTGGGAAGCCAGGAGCCATCATCACCTCTCTTCCTCCACTGCAGTGAATATCACAACAAACTCTTCTGGAGAAGAGCCTGAAGTACCTATAGCTGTTCTGGCTGCCTTGGGCTACCAAAAGCTCCCCAAAGAGGCTGTTTTGCAGGAGGGAATGTGAGGAGCGCTTCTGTAGAGGTGCTGTCCAGGCGCTGTGCTTTAGATTGGAGCTCTGTCAGGAGGGAAGGGAGAGTTAGGATTTTTATGTGCTGCATATCTGGCATGGTCATGAGCAGACCTGGGTGTACAGAAATGAGACTGACATGTACCTCAAATCAAAACCTAAGTCACTTTACAGCTGCGTGAGGCACTGGTACTTCAGGTACTGCTGCTGTAAAGACTGGTTGATAAAGTGGGTATTGAAGCTGACACAATGGAGAATTGTCAGGACTCAGACAGTTCCCCTGAGGCCTCTGCCACTGTACAAAGCTGTCTTTTGGCCGTTGCACATTAAGGTCGTTCTTCACATACTGTTGTTGCCATGGGACATGGTGTGATTTAATCTAACAATTTGTGGCCTGTCTGGCCCTTGGAGAAGAAAAAAACCTCATGTAGCTCACTCTTGAGATGATACAGGGAAACAGCTTAAACTTAGTGCTGGTTTCATCCCTCATGCTGCAGAAGAGGTCATGAACCACTGAGCCTTGTTTCCAAGGCTGCTGTTACGGCCTCCTGAGGCTGAGCAGCACTGGGTATGTTCTGCAGCCATATCCTGCAGCCATGCATCTCCCCAGCAGCAGCACCTGGCCCTCTGCATCCTCAGAATGTGAGAGCTGTAAGCCTGGGCCATATTGTTCTGTCCCTCTTGTTGGGGTCATGCTTGGCAAGGGTAGGTAACATCTAGGCTGGAAAGAGGAAGTTATTACTGTTAAGGCAGCAATGACTTTGGTAGAAATAGATGATGGAGGATGTAATCTTTTCAATATGACAGTAAATAGGGGCACATCTATAAAGGCTTGTTGGAGGAAAGTGGAGTCAGAACAGCGCTGAACAAGAACAGGTATATTCCGCTCCAGACTGTGTAGGATTAGTTAGCCATGGTGAGGGTCTGAGTTGCAGCTTGTGGTTTATACATGAAGACAGTGCTGTTGGCCATATGACTTCCATGAATTACAGCCCTGTAGAAGAGGGAGACTGGAGGTAATAATGGCAGTTGGTTGTTCTTTACCCCTTCTCCCAGCACAGATGGAGTCCAACGTGTGCAAGCTTGCACCTCCTCAGTCACCTTAGCTGCCTCCACACTGTTGGGTGTAAAAGGTCTTGAAGCCTATGTTTTTTCCTCCAGGTGGAGGAGCAGTGAGCCAGAGAGGCTAGGTGACTTGCTGAGGTGGCACACACAGATGCATGACTATGGGTTTAGGTGTTTTGATAGCTGGGGTTTGGGCTTGCCCAGGCTACCAATAGCAAAGTCTCCAAAGAAACAACACCTCTTGCATCTTGCAGGGGCTAATAATTGACTTGGCCATCAGAAATAAACAACCTGACCTTTACCTATAGAGCTGGTAATTTATATGTTGAGCCTGAGGGATGTTATCCTTCAGAGTATCTGATTCAGCTTTCTATCTCTGGACTGATTTGTGCTGATTTCTGTCTGCATCTTTCCCACTGTGTAAACCAAAGGATACCTTTTGTCTGTGCACATGAAGTCTGACCAGGCATGAGCTTCTGAAAGACCATAATCTGCCATTTAGTGTCACACAGTGGTTTGGGTAGGTAAAGGGAACTCATCTGCAGTAGAACAAGGCTGGGAAACACACACAGAAGAAGGACAGTGCCTGCATGGAGCGTAGTGTAAGGAGGCAGGCCTTGAGCAGCAGGGACTTCCTTTGGAGGAAAAACATACCTCATTTCTCCACCAGTGTTTTCATTCCCAATTAATTTGTTATCAACTGGCATAAAGAAACCACAGTATCTGGTGACTGGTCAGCAGGTGCTTTCTTGTCTATGTAAATTAGAGGTGAAATGTAATGCAGTTGATAATGGCATGCTTTAAAAAGAAGTGGAATGAGCCAAAGTATGATGTGATAGTAATTTTGCAAGCACTGGCTGATGTTAGCAATTTGCCCAGTTTAATCTCCCCAGCCCCCCCTGCTAATACATAACAACGTAATGGGTGAGGTTCTTCCCTGCTGTGCCAGAGGGCACCAGGCTCTGTCAGCAGCCTTCCTTTCCCCCAGCCCAGGGCAAACAGAGCTCAGTGCTGCATTTGACCTATTGCCAGCAAAGCTGGCTCTGATAAGAGTAATAGTCACACTGATGCTGCCTGCCTCCTAATGTTTGGCCAGCTGCAAGAATGAACAGGTCACCTAGACACAGTCACTGCCTTCTGCTCAAGGAGTGGATTTCTCCTCTACATGTACAAAGGAGGGGAAGCTAATCACTCTGTTTAGGCTGTCTGGTGCCTTTCAGTGGTTACCCCCATGCTTCTCAAGCTGTGTGAAGCTGAGCCTCCCTCAGCAGGTTATTTGGAGGGCAGCATGTAGCAATTCCAGCAGGCCTTCTCTCTGTATGTTGACCCTTTCCAAGCATTTCCATTTAGGTTAACCCTCAGGACCTGTGACTCCAGACAGCTGGTGTCCTGCCAAAGAGAGGTCTCACTTGGCAGTTGTCCTCTTATCTGCCTCTTATAACTGTGTGCATTAAAACCTGCTGTGCTCTCTCCCCCAGGACTGCTGTATCATACCTCCCTCTGTCCCTGGCTTGTGTCAGCTCACTGCACAAACAGTGGGGGCTGTTTGCTGGCAAACAGTGCTGTCCTGGGGCTGATATCTGACCTCACCTTGGCTGCTTTTAACCCCAAAGGAGGGGATAAGCTGGGAAAAGCCCAATGCAAAGAAAAGGATTTCAGAACTCAGGTCCTGTATCTGAAAACCTTCCTCAGACAAACTGGGTAAACCAGGCGAAGGCTGGCTCCATAGCAGACCCAATTGAAGGCTGCTGTTCTAGGCAGTCCTTCCCAGTCTGGGTGAGAAGCAGCTGCTGTAGAGCCTTTTTCCAGCACCGCAAGTGCTGCACAGACTGTGGTACTCAAGGAGGGTCTTGCTGAGTAAACACCCTCTGTGGCCTTTGCTTTAAAACTGGACTTTGTTCCCCCTGTCTGTTACACAGACCACTCTAGCAGGACCCTTGTAAGACTGAGATTTTGCTGAGTAAATCCCTTCAAGCCAGGTCTTGTTTAAATCTAGGGCTGATGCTGATTTTCAGTAAAAACACTTGAGCTGAGGAATGTGCTGTTCTTAGCCCTGCAGTTGACTTGGTGGGAAATGCCTCCTTGCTTGAACAGTAAATGAAGATTTCACTGATTATTTTTCTTTTTAATTCAGAGGGAATTCTCAAATTCTGTAGCTTTGGGAGATCTCTGCATCCGCTGCAGTCTAGAAGAAAACTCAAGGGTCTGAAGCCCTGAATTACTGTACTGTTGAGCTGGGGAGAAGCTGATTTCTTATTTGGTGCCTCTCTTGTACACTTTCTAACCTGTATGATGGGGATTATAGTGCTCTGGAGAGCTAACTGATGCAGAGACTCGAGTACAACATAAGGTATGCTTTTCTTCTATAAGGAGTGCCTATAGCCCTGCTTTTTAGTGATGTTAAATCTTCCTGGGCACATCTATACTCCATAAATGCTGATGAGTAGCACTGCCATCATCTCTGAGATCTCTGAATCCCACCCCTTTGTGTTTGGGTGAGGAAACTCGCCTCTTCCACAGCCCTGAGCTCACTTGCAAGAACATCTTCTGCACTGTTTATGATCAAACCTAACCCATGCTTGGAGCACATATGATGTGTGAAAGGAGAATGGCTTTACCCTGGTGTGAAATGTGGCCAGTGCAGCGCTGGCTCTGGAAAGTTCTCACTTGGCACACTGGCATGGTAATTTCTCTGCAATATGTTGCCTTTTAGCTCCCTGAAAGCTGAAACAGCTCTCTAGGGTGACTGTGAGAGCTGCTCAGACATGTGAGAACTGAGGGGCAGGATGTTTCATAACCTGCTGAATATAGTCATGCGGCCACGAAGGAGGGCAGGCTTGATACCAGCGTGGGTCATTGTACATTAGTTGCTTCTGCTTGAGTCCGGGCTGAAATCTGGGCTAGGTCTGCAGCTATCCCTGGCAGAGGGGATTTGCAGGCGAGACCACCCCTACTCACTGACAGCTTGCTTCCTCTCTACTTGATTTGTGCTCAGGTGCTCAGAGCTGTTTGTGTTTAGAGCTGGGGATTGTCAAATTTGTTCTGAGTGTTTTGCAGCTTTGGGAGCTTTTTTGTTTGGAAGTAGGCTATTGTGTTTCCATCTGGCTCTGGCTGGTATCTGTTTCAGGAGCGTGCTAAGGTATTTCCTGAAATCTGAATATGGTCTCTGTAGGGACTGTGTGTACAGTGAGAGCCTCAGCGCAGGAAGGAGTTGGGGGGCCTGGGAATGTGACATGTCAGGCATAAAGCTGTTAAGCATGAGCAAATATTCCCAGAGAGGAGAGGGAACAATGCAATGCCTTTCTTGCCAAGGGAGTTAGATCTCATCTGCACCCAGGCTCTGCCCTGGAGGTCTTGTGGGTAGGCAGCAGCCTTAGTGGCAGCTAGTGTGAAGGTTTTAGTTGAAGTCCTCTGGTCTCTACTTCCCGGTCATGCATCTCTTCTTCCGCATTTGCTGCCTGCTTGGGATCTCCTCCAGGACACGTGGCTGTCCCAGAGGCCAGTGCTGGGTGTTCCTTCCTCCTGCAGTGCTGGATCTGCAGACCTAGGGTGTGCATCCCAAAAAGCAGTTCAGAAACACTTGTTTTCTGGTCATTGTCCCATCTGCGTCCCTTGGCTCCTGCTCATTCCCTTGTTCTGTTGCTCACTTTCCCTTCTCTGGCCTTCATCCTGAACATGAAGATTTTCCAAAGGAAGGACTTAGGTAAGAATGTTTGGAAGGTAGAACCAGATGCGCAGGCTGACCTGACTTACCGATCTGCTGCAGGCAGCACTTAACCCTGGAAGAAACTATTATTAAAATGGTGGTGTGCAGTTTTAAGCAAGACTTCTTGCTGCCTGCACAAGTGAAAACAAAGCTCTTGGTGCTTGTGATAAAAACCACTGTATTCACAGGTGGGGAAGGGCTTTTTGGTTCTTTCTCTGCTGTGTGCTTCCTCCCGGACAAGATGACTGGTAGTAATGCTTCTGCTCTGAGCTTCTGAATGAAGAATATGAAGAATACTTCTGCCATAGCTGTGACTTTGGCAAAGAGCTGTTCAGATACCACAGGAAGAGTTTTGGTCTGCAGGAACAGTGCTTGGTGAACTGCTTCCTGCTGCTTCTTCTGTGCCCCAGGCCTTGCCTAGTAGCTTACAGCAGCTAGGAGTGCAAGTAACCTGTCTGCATGTGAGGTGGTTCTGTGCTGCACACAGGTGGACCTAAAGGAGAAGTAAATTTCAAGGCCTAATACTCTTCCAATACCTAAAAGGGCTACAAGAAATCTGGAGAGAGCCTTTGGACAAGGGCCTGGAGGAACAGGACAATGTGAATGGCTTTAACCTGCCAGAGGGGAGACTGAGATGAACTCTTAGGCAGAAGCTCTTCCCTGTGAGGGTGCTGAGGCGCTGGCACAGGGTGCCCAGAGAAGCTGTGGCTGCCCCATCCCTGGCAGTGTTCAAGGCCAGGTTGGACACAGGGGCTTGGAGCAACCTGCTCCAGTGGAAGGTGTCCCTGCCCGTGGCAGGGGTTGCAGCTGGAGGAGCTTTAAGGTGCCTTCAACGCAAACCATTCTGTAACTCTAAGACTTACTGCTTTTCTCTTGCCTTTTCACCTTGGGAAGAGGAAAGTCCGTGGAGCTGGCTGGTGCCAGGCTGGGCTGACCCAGGGGTGCACACACCTCGCTCCTCCCCGTGCAGCTGAGCCTGCACCTTGACTTGCCTGAGGTGAGCTGTTGCTTGCTCTCTACCTCCATGTCATACCTGAAATGCCTATGTAAAGAGCCATGGCACCCAGTGGCATGGAGCAAATGAGGGCTTGCAGAGCTTGAGGGCTCTCAAGTGCCATCGCTGTTGGCTTTCTGGGGGGCTCCTGTGTGGATAAATTGGTACCTTAAAGGGAGATTTGTCCCTGGACAGGATGGGCTGGTTCTGTCATCAAAGCCTTTTAGACCCATTAAAGCACTGCGATAAGGAGCACTACAGTCTAAGGTCACAATACCAAACCAGGTGAAAAGTGCTGCCTATGCCTTTCCCTCATGGAGCTAATGATTAACGCATCAATTAGGTATGAAAAGAAACAAAATGTGTATGCTTAAGATAAAGCAGACTGTGCATGAAATAACAAGGTATTGTAGTATTTGTTTTAAAAACAACGTGGGAGTTATTTGCACTGGGTTGCACGGGCTGGTACTGTGTGATTACAGGGAGTGCTGCCATTTTTGGGGTAAGCATGATTCATTGTGTGCTATGCTCCTTAAGGGTGATTAGAAGCTGGGAGGGTCTGCTCAACTTATTCCCTCTCCCATCCTGTTTCAGAAAAAGCAATG